AATTTTTTTATTTAAGAATATTAGCTTTTAATATTTCAATTAAAAAACTCATTTGCCACATTAGCATAATTATCCAATTAATCCTTAAATAGAAAAAATTAAAAGTTAACATTTTTACTTCGAAATTGATAAAGTTAACATTTTAAATAAAAAAAAATTGATATTCTTATTTATACTTTTTTTCAAATTTTAAGCACTAAGTAGTATATTGAAGAACACGTGTCACGTTATGGTATATTTGCATGCCCACACGCATGCACATTTACGTTTTTCTGTTAGTCATTCGATACAAGGAAATCAGTTTTTCTTTAATTTCTTTTGAGAATGTTGGATTAATTGTAATTGCACCTATAAGTATTTTAGTTTTCTAATAGTTCCAAACAGCGTTGGAGTTGGTTTTAGAACAAAGTATAGAGATTTTTGCTCTAAATTTACCTAACAATGTGTCTTTCTTTGTTCAATTAATGCAGTTCAAACCTAATCTTTGAAAAAGAAGAGGGAGAGAGAGAGAAACTAACATGGTTATCCAGTTTCTAGAAATTAGGTTGAAGGGGGCTTTGAGATTGGGGTGGGGGCAATCTATAACCAAATTAAACCTCTCCTCTTGATCTTCGATATCCCACTTGCACTACTTAGTACTTTAATCCAATTACAAATTACGTATTACGTGTAATAATCTCGTTCGTGGGAATTAATATAAGATAGATCAAAGAGACTACGTACGGTCACAAATAAAATATGCAGTACGGATTTTCCAGCAAGTAAGATACTGATTTCTTTTGAGCTACAAAATTTTCTTTTATGCCGTGTGTGATGCTATCCAGGCACTGAGTAACAGGAACCTTCTACAATGTTCTAGTATTTAAGAGTAACATGAACCTTCTATAATGTTCTAGTATTTATCAGATTTTTCTAGTTCAATGATATATAGCTCAATATAATGATGGCCATTGTTTTTCTATTTGGTTAATCCGGGCGGTTTGGCCGTCTCTCCCACTTGCGAAAGGAAGTAGGTTGATTCTTGGGAAAAACCTCCTCCGGTTTATTTCAAGCTTAACACAGATGGTTCTGCCATTTACAGCTCTAACATTATTCGAGATCACGGAAAAATTGTTTATGCTTAACAAGGTAATTGGGTTCAACGATTTTTAGAAAAATTGACATCACTTCCAGTCTTGCGGTTGAAATATGGTGAATTCGAGATGGATATTTACAACTAAATGTCATAACATTCAAAATTTAATTGTTGAAATGGATTCTTGTGTTGCATATCAACTGCTGTCCAAGGACCCCATTGCTAACCATCCCCTGTTTTTATGGAGGGTAGCATTTGTGCTGCTGATTGCTGACCGGCTTACTCTTATGGGTCACTTCCTCTCAGTTGATTTTGTTTGCCTCTTTGATGTAGTAAAATATTTTTCCCTTTTTTTATATATTTAATTTTTTTTATTTATTTAAAAAATAAATAGCAGGAATTTTCTATATTGGGCTCATCTGGTTAATTTATTGGGCCGAAAAAGCCTTGCCTTGAGAAACACTTATCGGGCAGAAAGTGATGGTACAGAAGAAATAAGGAATTTGTTTTAAACTTTTAGTTGTGTGGTCAATTTTGCTTCCGATAATTCTACAAGTGTTTGGGTAGCTCGCAATTCAACACTGTTGAAGTCCTCAGCTGCTTCTACACTTGAAAATCTCGAGGGTGTTTTCTCGGAGAAAACACTCCGACGCTTAAGCCAGCAATACTCAATATTCTAAAGAGAGATGTTCTCAAAGAGTAATTGCAGAGAGAGACGTAGAAGAGTTAATTACCTTCATCGGAGGTAGTTGGGGGGTATTTATAGCAAAGAGAGACGTAGAGAGACGTAGAGAGACGTAGAAGTGTTGACATGGGCTCAAACATGTCTTCACCCGTTTGGTCCACGTGTCACTGCCCACGTGGGCATGTATCCTCATCTTGGGCCAGTGGGTGTATAATTGGGTCTGCTGCTTGCGACCCGAAGTGGGTGTTGGGCCTAATCCCAACATTACTCCCCCCTCGGTGTTCGGTAGATGAACTGGGTTTGACCCTGGGGGATGAGGAGTGAGGTTCTAAGGTTCATGATCGACCTCACGCATGATCGATCTGGACAGCTTCCTACCAAGCAAGCGTGAGGAAGCTGGTGCTAATTAGCGAGACAAGCAGGCGCGCAAGGGCGACCTTGCATAATGGATTTTCTGTAACAGAGCTAAAGCGGGCAAATAGTGGACGAGCTGAGCCAATCCATGCAGATGGAGTAGAGTAAGCAACCTCAATCGTCACTACAATGTAGATCTCCGGAATACAAAGCAAATCTTAAGGAGTTGGTGACGATCTGACGTTTGATGTTCAAAACTGAGGTGAATCTCCAATTTGTTACGACCTAGTCTTTAACGATTTTTCAAACTTGGAATCTTTGACGAGGTCTCGGATTCGCAACGAGCTGATTCTTGGGATTTTTCAAATTTTGAATTGTGACGTATCTTTAAGGAGATCCCGGATTTGTAGCGAGCTGATCCTTGAGATTTGTTATGAGCCGATCCTTGGGGATTTTTCAAATTTTGAATTATGGCAAATCTCTGAGGAGATTTGCTCAGGGCGTTTGGTATTCTTCTGCTAACAGCAGATATCCCTCTGCCTTCCTATAATAAATGCTGGCTCAGCATTTGAGGGGACGTGACAGCTGCAGGCGGCTAACTTTGGGGGTTTAACCATAAATGACTGCCACGTGGACACGGTTAACTGGGGGGCCATAAACATGCGTACGGTGTTTACGGAGCACTATTTGAAGGACAAAAACAAAAGCAAATTTATGTTTCATTGCTCAGTATGTTAGTATTTTCATCAGCAAGAGTTGCAGAGACGCTCCAGACCATTCTCCAGAATTTTCAGCAAAAAGACATCTGATTTCCATTACTCAGGTAAAAATGCCTTCTTTGCACGATGCGCAAGAGTTCCGGGGTAACCAAGGTAAAGACGAAGAGATTGATGTTATATCAGTGGAGCCCATCGCCATGATAGTGCCACCGGAGTTGCAAGATTCGCCCAACCTCGCCACGCCGAAGAGTAGTGCTAGTTCGAGCGCGGGTGGTGGTTTTGACAACCATCGGCCTTCAACATCCAGCGATTCATCCATGGAAAAGACATCCAGTGAAGCTGAGGGTGTTGAGGAGGTTGGTTGCAGTGCATCGGCGATGAGTGCAACGGCGGAGGTGGTGGTGTTTGAGGGGTGAGAGAGTAAGATTCTCAGTGGGAGACTGGATAACCTTCGTAAGGCTCCCAAAACCCTACCGGCCGAATTTAAGTTCAGGGCAGCACTACACCATGAAGTTGTAAATGGGGCGGCCACAGTGAAGGGGTATAAGAAGCTATAGGAGATGGTGAGGCGATTCCAGATCCCCAGAACCATCCTAATCCGAGCTGGGACACCAAATGAATGGGCGTGTTCAGTATCACGAATGGGCTAGGTGCCAGTATACGTAGACCATTTTGACGCCGGTCTACATTTTCCTCTGCTCGGACTAATTTTTGATGTCTTGGCAGAGTACGAGCTAGCCTTTTCGCAACTTACTCCCAACAGCATAAAGTTTATCATAGACTTTATGCTGTTGTGCGAAAGGTTGGGGATGCCTGCAAAGGCGGTGGTCTTCAGGTCGCTCTTCTTGTGCCGTTTGTGCCCGTCCACCAGTAGAACGAGATGGTACTACATCTCGAGGAGAGAGAAGATGATGATATTCACCAACATAAGGAACAAGGTGGCGAGGTGGAAGAGACAATTCGTCTTCATTCGCGATACACGAACAGAGAGAATCAATAACGAGCTCGCCGCCCGTCTGTTAGAGTGGCGTAAATCGAACGCATATATGAATTACCCACAACTGACTATTGGTGATGTCAACCTGAAGAACCGGCTGCTCGACCATGTGAAGGCGCGGGGTTTGGTGGATTTAGAGGCCTTGGTTACACCGGAGCAGATCGCACTTCTTGGGTTTGTCAACGTGGCAAACCTTCACGGGGAAGGTATATTTCTATAGCATAGCAGGATTTCTAGCCGACCTGAATCTTATGTTTTTATTTGTGCAGGAGAAATGAGCAGCATATTGGAGAAGCAGTGCCAACGAGCACAAGGCTTGAGGAACTGTGGAGCTGGGTCTGGTTCCCAATGCCAGACTCGCTTTGACAAGCGGCCACCTGCAGCACTTGGGCGCAGCTCGTCGCACAGGAGTTCCAACTCGGCACTGAGGCCGCATGTTGAGCAGAAAGTTGAGCCTGCGCCCTCAAGCTCGAGAAGGCGTACGAGGGAGGATTCTGACGCTGAAGATGACGTTCCCCTCATCCGGTGGAGGACGAGTATGGGGAACCAGCCCGCTCCAGCCGCTGCAGCGCGGCCTGCCAACGTGCCCCCAACGCCAGCTCGTGAGGTCGTTGAACCAACACCTGCCTCGTCGTCTGTGGCTAAGCCAAGGATTGCATATCTGAATGGCTTTAGTTACGTAAGAACTGACTGCCAGGCCGCAATGCTGCAGGGTATGCAGAGCTTTGTGCCTCCCATAGACCGGCAACGTGTGAAGGGGCACGTCCAACAGCATGGAGGACATGCTGCTCTCATTAAATTGATGGATGTAAGTACATGTACTGAGCTTATTGTTGTATTCTATCATTCTTTGCTATAAACTGATGAGTGAACACATATTGCAGGCGTTTAGCTGCACCGTCGCACTCTTTGAGTGTGAGCAGAGGGCGCGGGTGCAGAACCGTGAGCTGGAACACAATTGCAAGCAACTGACCTCTAAAAAGCTAGTTTAGCTGACGAGGTCAGTCACTTTCAGAGTTTGGAGATGGCTAATCGAGCGGTGTCAGCAAAAAGCCGAGCTGATGAGTTGGCCCGTAAGGTCAACGAGCTGAAAGAAGAGCTCAAAAGAGCTCAGGCCGAGAAGGAAAGCGACATTCAAGCTGCGAAGGAGGAGGCTAGCTGTGCAGAGGACCGGGCCAAGAAGGCAGAATCTAATAAAGAGAAGACTCTGCACGAGCTGAGCGCTCTGAGAGAGAGGGTCCGCAAGTTGATCAGCACGTCGCCTTGGCTGAGGCGTCCTTGGAGAGGACCAAAAGGCTCCACCAGGGCGACGTCTGCTTTGCCCACGCACAAGGGGCTGAATGGTTGGTGGGAGCAGAGATGTTCCAAGACGCTGTCGCTATCACCTCGGCCAACACTACCACGGACATTTTCAATGAGGTTCGTGGGAAGGTGCTGCGAGTCCGAGCTGACTTCCCCATTGGCGAGCTGGCCTTCTTTGAGGGCAAGGAGATTGATGAAGATGGGAACAGCCTCACCCAACCAGCTGACACGCGGGTGAGGCTGAAATGGGAGCTTAATGAAGAGGGGCTGCCCGTGTGGCCCCCTACTGTAGTGGAAGAGGGGGAAGACATAGAGGGGTTGCCAAGCTTTGACGCTTGGGTGGCAGGCCCCCAGGACATGCTTGCTGAACCTTCCAGCACTCCTCCTTCAGCTCAGCCTCAACCTCAGCCCGTCTCAGCCGCTGCTCTTGCTCCTTCTCCTTCAGATCGACCATCTCCTACTCGGTTTGTTTCTACGCCCAATGACGCATCCATCCCTGTCTACCTGACGGATGACTAGTATAGGGCTTTTGTTTTGTTTGTTTTTTGTATGCTTAGCCTCAACCTCAGCCCGTCTCAGCCGCTGCTCTTGCTCCTTCTCCTTCAAATCGGCCATCTCCTACTCGATCTGTTTCTACGCCCAATGACGCATCCATCCCCGTCGACCTGACGGATGACTAGTATAGGGCTTTTGTTTTGTTTGTTTTTTGTATTTTCGTATTGATCAATTCTAAAAGAACATTGATGGAATACAAGTTGAACTTTTTTCTTTGAAATTCTTGTGTATATTGTTGTGTACTGTTCTATACATTGTCCTTTACATTCGTTTGACAATAACTTGAATTAAGATAACAACGTCGAGATGTTAACTGTAGAACTTTCTAAGGTTATGTATGTTCCAAATGAATGGTAATGGGTGACCTTGTAAATCTGCTAACTGATAACACCTAGGTCGCTTAATACAAACAACCATATAAGGACCTTCCCAATTGGGAGCGAGCTTGCCCATGTGCGAATAAGCATTGGTTAGTCCCACTTTGCGTAAAACCAGATCACCGACCTGAAACTGACGAGCTCGAACTTGTTTATTATAAAATTTTGCAACATGACTTTGATGCGCCACGTTTCTTATTCGAGACATCTCCCTGACCTCTTCCACAAGGTCTAGGTTTTCTCTTAAAAGTTGCTCATTGTGATCGTCGTTGTGCCAATCTACTCTATCAGATGGCAATCTGACCTCTACGAGGATGACGGCCTCAGCTTCATAGGCAAGGTTAAATGGGGTTTCGCCTATTGCCGAGCTGGGCGTAGTACGACATGACCAAAGCACTTTATTGAGTTCGTCAACCCAATTAGAATGCGCAGCTAGAACACGCGTCTTAAGGCCTCGCAAGATGATTTTGTTGGCAGACTCGGCTTGTCCATTAGACTGTGGAGTATACACAGACGTCAAGGCGAGCTCAATGCCATAGTCGTTGCAGAACGACCTCAATGCCGTAGCTTGGAACTGCGGATCATTGTCAGCGATGATCCGCTTAGGTATGCCGAACCTGTACACAGATGACCAAGCTGAGCCATAAACTATATTTACATATAATGTACGAATGGCTTAAGCCACCAAAGAATACCTGCATAGTATTGAATTGAACAGGAATTCCTCTATTTTCTTCTCTGTTGTCGTGGATAAGAATTTAGCTTCTATCCATTTCGTGAAGTAATCCACCACGACAACCAGGTATGTGCAACCTCCTTTGCCTTTCACAAAAGGGCCGAGTAGGTCGACTCCCCATTGAGCAAAAGGCTAGGGAGATGAGAGTGACGAGAGCATTTCTCCTGTTTCAACGAAGAAACCTATACTTAGTTTATAGACAAACATGAAGTTTGCACGAACTTTAGAACAAGCTCAGATACCTGGCATGTGAATATCATCAGCATTGAACTGGCAGGTCGGGCACTTTTTGACATAGCTCTGTGCGTCCTCAACCATAGTAGGCCAGTAATAATCATGCCTCAGGAGTTTTCGAGCTAAAGTTCTACCACCTATGTGTGTGCCACATACTCCTTCATGAACTTCTCTCACCGCATATTCAGCTTCATAGGGAGTAAGGCAACGTAATAGGGGCATTGAGGCTGCTCGTTTGTAGAGCTGATTATCTAACAAAGTGAAATGTGCCACCTTGCGTTTAATCAACTTTGCAGCGGACGGATCTTCAGGCAGCTCGCCATTGTGTAGATATTCTATGAGCGGGGTAGTCTAGCTTGGTGAAGAGGGATCTATGCTAAGCAGCTGACATTCGATTATGAAATCGGTGTAGCTCGAGGCGTCAAGTACCTCTACAAGTGTTGATCTCTGAGGGTTGATGTCTTGTGAGGAGGCTAATTTTGAGAGCTCGTCAGCTCGTTGGTTGTCTGCTCTGGGTATCTTGTCAATCTGGAAAGAGACAAATCTGGATTTCAATTTGTTGACCACAGAAGCATAACAACCAAGCTGAGGATCCCTGATTTCACAGTTATCATTCACTTGGCCTACCACGAGTTGAGAGTCGCTAAAAACTTGAATGCTCTATACTTTTAGTGCCGATGCCAGCTTCAAACCATAAATAAGGGCTTCATATTCTGCAGCATTATTGGTTGTCTAAAACTTAAACCTCAAGGCATGCTCAGATTTAAAGCCATCTAGGGCTATTAACATAGCCCCAGCACTCGATCCTTCAATATTAGCAGTTCCGTCAACATATAAGACCCAAACTAGGTGCTCTAGTGCCTTTTCTTCCGTAGTTGCCGAGATGCACTCCACCAGGAAGTTTTCCATAGCCTGGCGCTTTATGGTTGTGCGCGGCTGAAATTTGAGGTCGTACTCACTCAGCTCGACGCTTCACCTGATAAGCTGACCAGAGATCTCCGGTTTTTGCAGTATTTTCCTCAATGGCAAATCGATATAAACAACAATTTGATGTGACTGGAAGTAAGCTCTCAATTTCCATCCTGTGTAGACCAGGGCAAAAGCAGCCTTTTCTACTAGTAGATAATTCTGCTCTAGCCTTGCAAAACCTTGCTCACATAGTAGATAGGTTTCTGATTCTTATTCTCTTCCCTCAGCAGAACGGAACTTACTGCCTCCTCCGTGACCCCCAGATACAGGTATAAAGTCTCCCCTTCCACAAGCTTAGACAGCAAGGGTGCTGATGCCAAATATTGCTTGAGCTCGTCAAACGCCTGCTGACATTCATCTGTCCACTGAAAGTTCTTGGGCTCTCTCAGGGCTTTAAAGAACGAGAGGCATCTTTCTGCCAACCTGGCTATGAACCTATGCAGCGCAGCAACACAACCCGTTAGACGCTGCACATCCTTTACGGTCTTCGGAGGCTCCATCTGTTGAACGGCCTGAACCTTCTTTAGATTTACCTCAATTCCTTTCTTGGATACCACATACCTTAGGAATTTTCCTGATTCCACAGCGAACGTGCATTTTAGGGGGTTTAGCTTCATTTGGGCTCGGCGTAAGTTCTGAAAGGTCTCACTCAAGTCATCTATATGATCCTCAACTCGCACACTAGTGACTATCATGTCATCCACATATACTTCTATGTTTTTGCCGATTTGGAGCTTAAAGATGATTTGCACCAACTTCTAATATGTAGCGCCAGCATTTTTCAAGCCGAACGGCATCATGACATGGCAGTAGATTGCGTCACCAGCATAAAAAGTTGTTTTCTCCTGGTCATCCAGCAGCAACTGAACCTGGTGGTAACTTGAGCTAGCATCCAGGAAACTCATCCGCTCATGTCCAGCTGCCTGCTCTACTAGCTTCTCCACATTTGGCAAGGGATGAGGGTCTTTTGGACACGCCTCATTTAAGTTGGTGAAGTTAATACACATCCTCCACTTGCCGCTGGGTTTTTTGACGAGCATAGGGTTGGACACCCACTCAGAGTATTCCACTCTCCTAATAAAGCCTGCCTGTAACAGCTTTTGTATCTCTTCATCTATGGCAGCTTGCTTCTCAGGGCCAAAAAGGCGACGCTTTTGAACCACCGGCCTTTTGGCGGGGTCCATGCTGAGCTTATGGACGGTCAACTCTGCTGGGATGCCAAGCATTTCATCCGTAGTCCACGCAAACACATCTTGATTAACCTACAAAAACTCTAGAAGCTCTGCTCGCTCTTCTTCTGTGAGTTTGGTGCCGATCTTAACTGTTCTTTTTGGCACATCAGGGTTTAAAAGGACCGTTTCCACCGGTTTCACCAACTCAGCCTTCTGCTCGACACTCTCAGGTCGGTGTTCAATGTCTGATATGCTCATTGTCTGCTGACCGAGCTGGGTTGGCCTGTGATTTTTAGAAGAACCTGTCGGGGCCGCTGCGAGCTCAACCTTCTTGAAAGTATCTTGGTAGCAGGCTCTGGCCATCTTCTAGTTCCCCTTAAGCACTCCTACCCCTTGAGGAGTTGGGAATTTCATACAAAGATGGGGTTGTGATATGATAGCCTTCAGCTCGTAGAGTGTGGCTCTTCTCAGTATAGCATTGAAAGCTGATTCCATTTTGACGACCAGAAAGGTGACGGAAACCATCCTAAAGCGTGGTTCCGAGCCCACATAGATGGGTAGAGTAATGACTCCTTCAACCGGGACGGGTTGATTATTGAACCCGTAAATGGACCCTTCATACTTCTGTAGCGAGCTCAAATTCAGCTGCATCTTCTGAAAGCATCTTCAATAAAGTATATCTGGTGAGCTACCAGTATCAATGAAGACCTTGTTGACGTTATGATTGCCTATATGGACCGTTGCCACAAAAGGATCTGCATGAGGCATCATAACGTCGGGCTCTCTGTCTGCTCGCTTATAATCTACCGAGCTGAATGTGATGAGTGCATTCTCCCACTCCGCCTCCTCGAATGGCCTCTTCAAGGGCCTGTTCTTGTTAACGGTCATCACTTGTCGGGCATATGCCTTACAGCCCCGAGCGCTTTGGCCCCCTAAGTGCATACCACCAAAGATCATATTGATCGTGCCAGATGGCGGGGGTATCCTGCTGTATCCAACCCCTCTGTGGTCTTTTTGATTCTGCATGGACGCTTTCTACCCCTGGCCTCGTCTATTGAATTGGCGTCCCCTGTATGCTTTATTCAGCTCGGACGAGTATTGACTCGCCTGGTAAGGAATTGGATTGCTACCGAGCTGATATCCCTGTACTTGAGATCGGCCATACTCTTGCACAAAATTGGTCTGGGTGGGCTGCCGGATGTAAGGCTTCTGTACATACCCCTCCAATTTTCCATTGCGAGCTAAGAATTCAAGCTAGTCCTTTAGGCTTTGACAATCTTTTGTGTTATGGCCATATCCACGGTGATAGTCACAATACTTGCTTTTGTCAGCTCGTGAAGAATCGTGCGTTTGGGGAGGGGGTCTCTTGACCCAGTGTTGTATCTGCGCCAATATCTGGGATCTTGACAAGCTCAGGGGAATGTAATTGTTGTACTTTGGATAGGATGGCGATTTTCCTCTTTGCTCGACAACCTTTTGCTTTTTCTTGTTGTCTTTGCCCTCAGGCTGCTTGGGCTCTTTACCCTGTCTATCATCAGCTCGCCTCTTGGAAGATTGAAAATCTTCGAACAGTATGAAACTTGCTGACCTGTCATTTACTTCATTCCACGACTTGGGTGGATTCTCCAGCAGGTTGTCTAGAAACCGACCACGCTTCAAGCCATGCAACAAGGTAGATAAGCATATGGTATCGGGGACGTTATCAATGTCTAAAGTTGCCTTATTGAACCGTTGCATGTAGTCCCTCAGAGATTCCCCTTCTTTCTGATGAACTTGCATCAGCTCGGTCGCTGTATGTTTAATCTCCCTTTGGCTCGCAAATTTATTGGATAATAGCTTGGCGAGCTAGGAGTACGAATCTATAGAGTGTCTGGGGAGTTTATGATACCATCTTCTGGCGATTGACTTCAGTGTCTTTGGGAACACTTTGCACATCATGGCGTCATTGGCATCCTGGATTCTCATGATGGCCTGATAGGTATGCAGGTGCTCATCTGGGTCACCTGAGCCATCATATGTCTCTAGATGGGGGATTTTGAATCCCTCTTGATATGGTTCTGCTATGATAGATAGGTTTAGTAGGGGCACTATCCAAGTCAAGAGTCTGTTGATGTGACCTAAGGCTTTTCAGCTCGTCAATGGATTTCTGTACGTCTTTGAGCTATCTTTTAAGGTCAGCATTTTTCTTTAGCAGTTCTTCATTATGCCTGGACGAGCTGGGTTCGGGGTTTAACCTCCCACTTCCCCTTGGTCCGATTGGGACCACCACGTTGCTCAGGGCCGGGGAGTTACGGGTTGCAACCACTGCAGTTGGCTGTGAATCCCTGTTTAGCAAAGGAATCAGGGGGTCATCAAGAATCAAGCGGGCAAGGATTTTACCCATTGCCATTTCGAGAACCCTGGTTCTCTCTTTAAGCTCGGTTGTCCGAGCAGGCTCTGCTAACCTTTCACGTCATTCACGTTGTGAATTGTATGGTCTAGGATGTCTTTACCTTATTCTTGTTGGAATTTGGAACTATTTCGGCTGAGTTGCATACCCAGTTGGTGTTCTTTCATCATCATCTGTTTCACTTAGTTGATCCTGTTCTGCTCCTCCAACGAAAAGGTTTCTTGGCATTGGCCTAAAATCATTCAAGCCGGGCTCGGACAGTTGAGTGTCCTCCTGTTCGTCTATTTCATTTCTTGGAGGGCGACTTCCAGTAAAAGTACGAACCATTTTGTCTCTTTCAGCAGGTTAAACCATTTTGTCTCTTTCAGCAGGTTAAACCATTTTGTCTCTTTCAGCAAGTTAAACCATTTTGTCTCTTTCAGCAGGTTAAGCTACACAATTTCTCGTTCAGTGTTCCCACAGACGGCGCCAAATTTTTGGGCAGCTTCGCAATCCAATACTGTTGAAGTCCTCAACTACTTCTACACCTGAAAATCTCGAGGGTGTTTCCTCAGGGAAAACACTCCAATGCTCAAGTCAACAATACTCAATTTTTTAGAGAGAGATGTTCTCAAAGAGTAACTGTAGAGAGAGACGTAGAAGAGTTAATTATCTTCATCGGAGGTAGTTAGGGGGTATTTATAGCCCCAAGTGCTGACATGGGCTCAAACATGTCTTCACCCGTTTGGTCCACGCGTCACTGTCCATGTGGGCATGTCTCCTCATCTTGGGCCAGTGGGTGTATAATTGGGTCTGCTGCTTGCGGCCCGAAGTGGGTGTTGGGCTTAATCCCAACAACAAGAAAATTAAAAAATATTCTTGTACATCATAAAGTTATCAACTGATGGTACGCTTACCAGGCTTTCTTGCAAATTATGGTGAGCAAAATTTTCCTATAATAAAAATAAAGTTAACGTTTTTAATAATCATGCGAAAAAAAACTTTTAAATAACAACCCCAAAGGCAATCCTAATTTGTCCATTTAGACATTGTTTGGCAGATCTTAGTGGATATATGATTTGCATCTTTATCACCAGGCTAAACTTGTGATGGTAAATCGATTGAAAACTGAGCTTAATTGGTGGTATACATACTATACAATTTGATCTTTAAAAAAGATGTGTATACGTGTATTCAGGGTAGTGCTCAAACCAGCTGCCCTCTTCGTGGATGAACTTAGCTGGGATTGAGTACGATGAGCAAGACGACTATGTTGCGGTCAAGGGGTGTTGCCTTTTCACGTCCACCATCATGAGCAAGCAGCTTGTCCATCCCAATTTGTGGAACTATTCAATGCTGTGACAGCAGAGGACTTGATTGTTAAGGAAAGGAGAGTTCCTAGTGTTGTGACAAACTGGGCTCTGGTGTCCATGAACCATGACACACGGTTCTGTATATATGGATCCCAATGTGATGAAGGCCGAAGTTGTGGTGGGCTCTTGTGGCCATGATTGGCCATTTAGAGCTACTGGAGTTAAGAGGCTGATGAACATTAGGAGACATTGGAGGGCTTATAAGGAAGATCGAAACAAGTCGTGTTGAAGTCCGCCATTACCTTAATAATTCTTTGAGTTAAAGATTTACGAACTTCAAAGGTTTAATGTCAAGGTTTTAACAGTGGTTGATTATTCATAAATTAGACTTACTCACACTTTTCCACCCATGTGAGATTTAAGGTGTCACAGATTTTGCCTGGGATGATTGTTACTTGCATTGAAGTTGCAGAGATTGATGGAGGCCCAAGAATGGTAATATCTGAGAGATGGAATTTAATGAGAATTGGTCCTTAGTAATTTACATGCTTCAACTTTAATCTTTTCCAATCTCTATGACTTGGGATCGACTATGTAACATGGTTTTTTGATGCAGGGACAAGCATTTGGAGTAATGATGATCTCAGGGCAGGAAGCAGCTCACCTGACTCCAAAAGCACTGGGATTGTGGATCTATTTCTTTTTCTTTTGGTTTTTTGGAACACAGTAGCAAATAAATCATCTAGGCCTTGTTCTTGTGGCTAAAATATGACCATTTCTCATTTTCTCTGCCTTTTTCTTCTCTGTTGTTATCGGAGTTATAACTTCCTGCATCAAAATGATCGAAAACCAAAAGATCAACCTCTGAATGTTGGGGGAGGTGGATTTGAATCCAATTTTTCAAGAATGGGAAGATATTACTAGTGACAAGATTGCAAAAATGAAAATTGGGGTATGGAACGGTACATGCAGGGGATCACCTATATACACAGTAATAATAAATTCAACCTTATGTCCTTTTTTCCATTCTTACAAGTTACAATTTTTCCTTTTTCCCATAATTTTTTTCTTTTTACATTTTTTTCCCACTTCCTAGGGATTCAAGAATTCATAACTGTTTACACGGCTATGTAGCTCCATTTCTCGATGAGTTGGGTCAACCGAGATAGCAGCTCGACAATCCCGGAGGGCACCCATGCGATCACCTGTATAGTCGTGGAATGCAGCTCGCAAGTGCAGCAGGTGACGGTCTGCTTTGAATGCAATTGCTCTTGATAGTTCCGCAATGGCTTCCTTCTCCTTCTGGCTGTCCATCAACACTGTTTTGGAAAAAAAGAAACCATGAAATGCAGTCATGGAGAGGATCTCATCAAGCGAAAGCATGTATAACATTTTCATTTGTGTATGCTTGACACTATTGGCAGAATTGTTGCAAGGATAATTAAGGGGTAAGAAGAAAAGATAACCAGACCTGCTGCTCGATATCTGTAAGGATACACCCGAAGTGGATCTAATCGAGTGACCATCTCCAGATTGGCCTTTGTGAGGTCACGATCACAATACTCAGATCTCTTCTCATAGGCAGAAGCATTATTCTTAGCCTTTTCAATTAGTTTGGTCATTTCTTCATAAGCAGCAGCCTTATCATTTCTGAGAAAGTGGACCCGAGCAAGGCCTTGGTGGGCCCGTGCATGCTGGATTTCTAGAGCCTTAATGTAACAATCGGCAGCCAAGTCTAACATCCCACAATCGACATACACACTTCCAAGATTGTTAAGTGCCTAGTTAATGGAGAAGATTAATAACGAAGTTAGAAAATTCTGAAAATCAAAATTTGCTTCCATGCATGTTCACAATACAAAGCATGAAACAAAACAAGAAATGACGATAAAAATAATCAATCTATTCATGCTTAACCATCATAACAAGAATAACAAAACTACAAATTCAAAACTCAAGACATGTAAAGGCCTAGTTTCTCTTTCAACCTAACACTTTATCAGAAAATGGCAAATCTTACGAATCACAGAAAATTTGAAAATTTATGAATAGGAGATAGTGGGAGCAAAATATTCATGGTGTGCGAAATTAGAAGTAGTTGCAATGAAGCCACATGGTGCAGAGAAGTATGGTGGTATTGCAGCTAAAAGTGTATTGCACTGCCTGTGAAGTTTACTGATAGTTTCTATGTCAATTGGTGCATTCATTTTCATTCCATCTTCTTCCCACTTAAGTATCTTTAGAGTTCAATTTAAAACTATTACCTACTCAAGAGAAACAAAATGTAGCAGCAAGAAAAAAAGATGATAAAAGAATGAGAATACTAAAGGAAACCTTACCTGACCTTTCCGCAGCCTGTCTGACGGGCATTTCAAGGCATTTTCAAGCAAAGAAACAACAGTCGAAGAACAAGATGGATCTTGGCTGGAGTCAGCCAATGCGTAGGCTTTAAGAAAGAAGGCCTCAAAGGATCTATTAATTTTTATAGACTCCTCTGCTTTCTGAAGACCTTCATCACAGTGACCAGTATCATACAATATCCATCCCTCATAAACCAGACGTTCGTGATCACTGGAAGCATGTTTACAAGCTAATTGCAAACTTCGCATAGCAGCATCAGGGCAGTTCAACCTGATCAAGTAAAGACATAAATTTATAGTGAGCCATGAAGATATAATCATAAAACCCCCAAAAATCTAAGCTTGGCAGAAACAAGAGCAAGAAGGGAGAAAGGGAAAGGGAAAAGGAAAAGGAGTCATGGAGATGGAAGAATAAAAAGGATGCTATAGGAAGGGAAAGAGCACTTGTCAAGATGTCTACTGAAATTAGTTAGCATGAAGTCAACAGAAATTTTTGATATAAATAGGATAAGCATGGAAATGAGGATCATTTTCGTGCATATGCTAAGAAGTTTAGCTCCAAATACACACCTAAAAAAAAATTCAGTAAGACCTTCAGCAGTGCAGGCAGGACGTACCTGAGGAGAAGTAACGATTGCCTGAAGTATAAAACACCTTTTGCTGCCTCAGATTCAAGCATCTGGTAGATCACAGAGAGTGAACCAATATCATCAACAGAAGACCATCGATCATACAATTGCAGCCAGCAATCTGCTGTTGTCCAATCGTTAACATGCTCACGCACAAGAGTATGGAGCTGGGATGCTGCCACCCTTCCCTCAAACATCCTGTAATCTGGAGAGAGAGTAAGAATAGCCTGAACATCACTAATGGCTGCTTTGTAATTTTCAATAGCCAAATAGAAGCAAAAACGAAGTTCTAAGCATTCTAATGCTAGTTTAAATCCAAGAATCCTGTTTATCTCTGTCAGTGCAGCTTCAACATTCTGTTTCTTCATCAGGGAAGCACCCCGATACATGTGGGGATAAGTAAGAGTGGGATCCAACTCTGTTGCTTTATCAAGGTCTTCCCACCTCTTGTCACCTTCACAGTATAATGATCTTTCTTGATACATCCATCCAAGTGGATTTACAGAAGAAATCACAGAGCTGAGTTTTTCATAAGACAAAAGCTTATGACCCTTAATGTAACCCAGTCTAGCCAAACCTGCAACAGAGTAGAGATGACCTAAATTTAAAGCTGCCTCAAAAAGACGTTCAGCTTCATCATATTCTTTCCTCAGAAGCCTCACACATCCCAATCGATGAAAAGCCAACAGTCTCTGCCAGTCAGTTTCAGCAGACTCTCTCAATTGTTCCAGAAAAGAAGCTGTTTTATCAGATTGAGGATTGAGGTTCATAGCTACTTCACTTAGTAAACAATAAAGTGAAAATGAGTCCTTTCCAGCCATGATTGACCTCTGTTGTCCATCAGCATTTATAAATATATCCACCACCCGTTCATCATCCAAACAATCTGGCAATTCACGTAGAAAAACTTGCAAGCATGATGCAGCAAGGATAGGGGAGTTCTCTGCAATAGCATACTCCATGAGCTGCACAGCATTTTCTCTACAGGACACCAGAGATGCAAGTTTTCTATCACATGCATCTTCGAGTCTTTCACAACAAAACTTGTTTGCAAAAACCAGTATTTCCAGCAAAAGGTTAGGAGGCACATCAATCAAACTACCAGTTGCACTGAACTCTCTTATTGCCCTCATACCTGAAGCAGAAATATTGTTTTCCGATAAATCTATGTCCTCACAAAATGATTCTCTGAAGGATCCATTCAGCATAGCATGAAAAGGAGCAGAAAGACCAGCAATCTGCTGCCTATCACATATTATTTTCTCCTCTCCAATCATAAAGTTCACATTTCTCAGAATATGGCTCCCATTCATCAAAACAGTCTCCTGGGAATTGACATCTATATCAACTGCAAGCTTAGAAACATCTATAGGCCCAAACTCTTCAGCACGTTTGTTAAAAGTGGCTAGTAGATCAGCAATAAGCTCTTCCCCTTGCTTCTCATACTTCAACCATGCCCCAAATACAAGCTTCTCATGGATGGAGATTGCATTCTGCCAAGCTGAGCGGAGGCTTTTCCGCATCAGTTTTGCTTCCCCAAGACCCCTGAAGATCTGATATTGTAATAAATATAAATTTGACTTCTCTTGCAGAGAACAAGACTCAAGTTCTTCATGAATTTGGGCTAGAACTTCTACATAATCAACAGGCTTAAAGAATGGTAATATCGGTGGCTCAGGAACCTTGATAAAAGACACTCTACGATAATCACCAAAACAATCTCAATTTATTAAAAGAACAAAGAGAAAAGGCATACGTATATAGTTATATAAACAAGAATGAATCAGAAACTTACATGGACGAAGATGATGAGCACTGAGATGAGAATTTGGAAATTTTCCCTCTTTCAACTTGGAGCCAAGACTGTGGATTGAGAGCATTAAGCTGTGATTCTTTACATGAATCAGAGGGAAAGAAAGTCCTCATGGGGCATAAGAGATGCAACAAATCCCGGATATCCACAACAGCCAGATGGGTTTCTCTCTCCAAAACTCAAAACGCAACCGAAATTTGGAGAAGAGGAAAAAATAAGGAACCCACAAAGGTTTCCTCTCTTACCACAAATCAATGATCTTATGAAACTACCATACCTCACCAAGCAACAAAATTTCTAAGATAACATAAAACGCAAACAAACAAACAAGTCAGAAAAGAACAAATCACCCTCCATATCTATATGGGTACCTCTCAAAAGCTAACATGCCCCAAAATATACACCAGAAAAATTGAACAAAAAAGAGAGGTCCTTTAAACTGTCTAGATATGCAACTTTTTTTGCAGTCACGATCAAGCCGATCTATGCTGGTTCTATTCCAGAGAAATCAGAAAACAAAACTTAGTACCACTGTTTCGAACGCATAAAACAACAAAAAACTCACATCAGTTACTTATGATGATAGCTGCTAAAGGCAGCAAACCCACATTATAGCCACTCAGCTATTCACAATAAAGCCAAAATACCATGAGAAATGTCCACCAGAGAGAGAAGAAAGTGAGATTTCTAGGCTTGAATCTAGAAGACCCAACAAAAATCAGGTATTGAAAAACTGAAGTAAGATTGGAGGGAGATAAGAGCAAAGTGTGAGGAATTCCAAATGGGAAAATTCGGAATCCGATCTTTGTCTGCTTTTTAACGTTTGTTTTGTTTGGTAAAAGGGAAAGCTTTTTTCTTTTCTTTTTCTCTCACTTTCGTCTGCCCGTTGGGGACTAGTAGTCTGACTCTGACCAGGAGTTTGCAAATTGCAGTGTTCTGTTTCGTCGGAAACAAAAAACTAAACCCCGAGATTTTAGTAGCGACCTATATTTGGGATTAAAATTAAAATGAAAGAGAAATGATATGATACAAGCTATTTTATTAAAAGGATAAGTATATATAATATTATAATTTTAAAAATTTTAATTATTAAATATTATAAAATATATTTTTTATATTTTAAATAATGCAATTATTAGTGCTAAATTTTTGCCTAAAGTTTTATAAAAAAGTTTAAATTCAATTGAAGTCCCTCTACTTTGCAAAAATTGCTTGTTATAATCCTTAGGGTTAATGCCAACTATCGTTCCTCTACTATCAAAAATAGTACAATCTAAACCTTCTACTATGGATTGGCTCCATGTCATCCCTCTACCATTAATTAACTCCACTTGTCGTTCCCTTACAGTGCAAAAACATCATAATGTTGTCCCTCCATCCATTGTAACTAATGATACTGTTTATTGACAGTTAAATGCAACGGTCACACCGGTTTTTTTTTTTTAACCCTTCCTTGTAGGCTCCACCCTTATCACATCTTCTTTCACACAATTTTTTTGCCTTAGCCTTGTCTTCCTACTGCCTTACCAACCCCAACGTGGATCCTGCAGAAGGGAACTATGGAATTTACAATTGATAATTTTCAAATAATAAAATATGAAAATCCATAATTGAGAAGACAGTAGATAAATAAAGATGATAACTTTGTTATTAATCTATTTAAAAATACAAAATTTTTAGATTTTTAAATTAAATAGTATTTTTTTTTTCAAATCATAATATTGAATTTTACAATCTTTTGTTTTTTTTTTTTTGAAAATTTATTAGAGAATGATGATAATATAACAAATGACAATCTTAATCAAAATAAGATAATATTTATGTATTTAAATTAAAAAAGTGAAAATTTACTATTATATACTTCAAGAATCAAGGAAATCTTAAGTAACTTAATGAGATACTGAGATATATAGTTTACTGATATGTTCAACAAGGGTTAGTTTTTTTTTTTAATTTAAAAATTCAAAAAATTTAAAAAGTGAAAATTTACTATTTAATTTAAAATTTCAAAAAATTTATATCTTTGAATAAAAAAATGATAAAGTCATATTTTTATCTAAATCTTTTCTAATCAATTGAGAATTCACGAGAAACCAATGTGTTTAAGATACAAAGAATTTCATTAAAGATAAAATAAAATACAAAAAGAGTGAGAACTATGGCAAAGAAATTTTATTCTATTTGATCTTAAATGAAATTATTTACATCCTCAACACACTGATTTTTTGTGAATTCTCAATTGATTAGAAAAGGTTTACATAAAAATATAACTTTATCAATCTTTTTATTCAAAGATATAAAGTTTTTGAATTTTTAAATTAAAAAAAAAAAAAAA